TTATTTTATATTTAGTTACAATTTTTAATTAATATTTTAAATAAATATTTACAATTAATAATTTCATTAATAATATTGTCGAGTCAACTTTTGTTCATAAAATTTTTAAAAATATATTATTTTCATTGTTTTGCTTATGTTGAATTGAGAAAAGTTATGTTTTTTAATTACATATACGTAGGTTATAAGATTTCTTCTATTTTTTATGTAGTATTTATTGAGTAATTGTGTTTACAATTTTTCTATTAAAAATATTTTAAAAACATGAACTTTTTAGTTCCAAATTTTTTTATTTTAAAAACATGTGAAAGATGGTTTTTTAGGTAGTTCATTTTAATTAAAAATACAAATAAAATATGATGTGTATTAGTGTATTACTAATTTGCCATTAAATTTTTGTCAAAGTAAAGGTTTTTTAGGCATTATGAATTTTTACAAAAACACTCCTCCTTTTAAAGTAGTATAGATATAGATTATTACAATATATATGCCTATTATGGACTACTTGACTGACACGTTTCCGGAAGGGCTACATGCACGAGAACATGTGGGAGTGATGCTTTTGAGGATGAGACGTGATTGGACGGTCGCTTTTTCAGTTCCTTTTCATACTGGATCAGCAGATCGATCATAGCAATCTTTTAGTAGACTGACACTGGACACCTGTAAATGGATCGACACAGATACTCGTATGTGCCTATAACCCATATATGTTGGACTGTGTTTTAGATCCCAAAATAAAATATGAATCTAATAATACTGGATGGTAATAAATAACGTATAACATAACTGTGACAAAAAAAAACTTCCCCTTATTCATGACTTTATAATTATACAAACATGCTTCTTAATGAATGCAACGAGACACACATACTAATAATGCCAGACATAATAATAATAATAACAATATACAATGTTCATTCAAGTAGCTGGCGCAAATCCTTGGGCAGGTTAAAAGGTTTCTGGTCCATACAGCTGAGGAGGTCCCAAGTTTGGTCACTGTCGACGCCTATGAGGTCAAGGTAATAGTTGTAATAATCTGCAATGTTGTTCATTTTGAGCCTATTACCTAGATTTCCGCAAAAATCAACACCGTACATGGCATTGATAGTCGTTGCTAATGACCCTGTAAATCTACCCCACAAGATGTCCTTTTTAGTTGGCTTCCAGTCGCTGACAAATACAGTGTGTGGCGAGGGTACCGTTATTACTTTTTGGGCCCCTCTTATTAGTTTGTGCTCGCCAAAAATTGGAGTCATCCACCTCCACATGGCGATCATGAATGCGAGAGTCGCATTTTGTTCGACGAGCTCCGGATGGTTCAACAAATCTACATTCAGTGCTTTGCCGGCGCGACAATATGTTGTGCTACTATTGGATCGATACATATGACATCACCATGAATCAAATTATTTTGTGACTAATACATATATAAATAAACACCAAAAAATGCAAGAATATAAATAGACGATACATGTATATTGGAAAGACCCCACGACCATAGTACTGAGCTCCCGGGTTGCAGGGGCAATCAATATCAGCTTCTTCACCATCAACACAATGATTTTTGTTGGGACTCATTTCTTTGCAGTAGCATAGACCCCAACTTAGTAACCCACCTCTCGCACTTGCGTGTGCGCCTGCAACCCACACACATATTCACTCAGCCGCACACCACTTAATTAAGTGGAATATTATTATTCACAAATTTGGATTACATTGTAATGTAGAGTGAGTGACATGTTACATGGATAAAAATTCATAATTACATAAGATCAGGTAATGTCATACTTCACTTTACATTTATAGATAAATATTTGTTTTAAAACTCTACTTCCTTCCTTGTAATTCATCATCCATAATAAATATGATTCGGGGAAGGGGAATATTGGTAGAGGATTTTTCTTTTTTTTTTTTTTTTT